TTATTGTAGTCAACTAATTCAATCCATATTGTTTGATAAAGATATTATTATAAAAAACGGCGTAAAATTGCGTGCAAAAACACCTTCGATACTTGCCAATTTTTTCACCAAAGCCTATATGTCAAGGTGTGAATTAATGCGATGAATGTGAAAGAATGCAGCCTTTATATGTAAGAAAACTTCCAAAAATGGTTTTCGGTATCAGTTGAGGCCAAAATTCACACATCTAGTCTACCCACATATTCATGCTTACCGTACGATTACAGCAAAGAAAATCAACCGGGCTCAAGACGAACATGCTAATATGATTCCCCTCAATTTGGGGTCATTAGGTCTTAATACAGCCTCTGTGGTGGTTTGCCAATTTGCCAGGACAATCGTCAAAGTTTTCAATAGACCGTTTTGACTCATGCAGGGAATAATTATCAGACCGTTGTGTGCATATTGGCTTTAGCAAAACAGACTCATCAGCCATCGGGCAAAACATTCATTCCAGTATCATAGTGATGATAGTCCAGTATCATACTGAAATGATTTCTTAATAATATATAGATAATCACTGACCCTAAACGTAACCCTACCGCTATAATCAAGCAATAACTCTATAGGAACCCATTGCAACCAGCCGTCATCGCTTGACTGAAACTACATAATATTCTTCTTTGCTGTAAAATTTTGCCAAATTATTGTGCAAAATCTCTTCTCCTTCAGCCTTGATTTCTATATGGACCTGTTTCATTATACAGATCAATACATCAATACTGTGTTGCAGAATCCATTTACAAGCAACTAGGGAATGCAAGTGTGAACATATTCGTTTCGCCTTGCCCATGAGTGTTATAGTGGAGCGGAAATGAACAAATTAATAACAGGAAAAGGTTTGATACTGAATGGCTCAAAAAACCTCATACTTGACATGACACCCCATAAAAACTTTTAGACTTTTAAGATATATATATATCTATCTATACCGTATTTTCTTTGATGGAATCAAGGTAATAATATATTTAGTAAGAGCCATATACAGTCGATTTGGGGGCAACTTTACAGAACCCCGTTTAAGTATAATCAGGCATGGACAGTGTTATTATAATGATTAGTTCATACGATCTCTTGTGGTATTTAAATCAAGGTCAAGGAGTGCCAGCGTATTCCGACCACTGATAAATGTTAGTGGCTAAATTGCGAGCAATTCAACAGTATAATATTGCATGCAGGTATCCGGTTAAAATAGACCGAGAAACATCAGTGCAAATATTCGGCGTCATGTTATGAAATCTGAAACTACTTCACGTCAGCGCAAGAATGCAAGTTTGGCCGCCAACCTTTGTTCGGCCTGTCTAGTTCGGTTGTTGTTGCGAACTTGTGTGCACAATTTACATTCGTCATTGTATCTGGCAAATACTCTTCGAATTTTGAACATATTTCAAGTAGAAAGACCATATTAAGAACGACTAAGTCGAATACAGACAAACAAAGGCAATTATAGCCGTGAACTGAGGCACAGAATAGCCAAAATACTCAATATGCTCGCTATAAAAAGTTCACGAAAATCGCTACGGTTATTGTCAGACGAAGAGGATAATCTGCTGGCCGGAGTCGACTTTCAAACGTATTATCTCGGCAACAAAGAAGTTATAGCTGGTGGCGACGACTTAGACGCTGCTGTCGAAGGTATATATTCACAATATATGAGTAATGGGGACATAAACAATTCCAGTCAGTTAACGATAACGGTTGATACGAACCAACTCATATTTCGAAACGTCGCCACACACTATATCGAGTTCACTATCGCGCTTACAAGCGTCAAATCGGTCTACTGCTCCAATAAAAAGACAAAATTCCCGAATGCCGTCATTATTGTGTGCTCCTCACCATCTCAAAGTACGGCGACTCTTCATGTTTTACATTGTTTGAATCAAACGCAGGCCAGAGAGTTCTATAATGCGATTAACCGTGCGTTTGACTATCACAGCGATGCGGGCAAATCAAATGGGACCACATTAGATAAAGCCATGGCCACGACGTTTAGCAAAGAAAATAAAGATTTAGGGACAAATGCTTTAAGTGGGTATAAGGTAAACACGTCGAAGCCGAGAAAATACCGTGAGGTGAACAGCACTGCGGGGCCGAAGAAAAAGGACAATGGTAATAACGAGAATACCGGTTTACTCGGGGCCGTGGAGCCAATGCCGGCGAAGCCAGAAGAGACCCCAGACCTTGTTCAAGAAATCCCCCCAGCCGCAGACCAAGATGGAAAACACGTGTAAAGTCGTGGGCTAGAACAAAGTCGGCATCGCAGCTGAAAGGCGCCGAAGGGAGAGGTTTGTTAGATAACATTGATCCTGATGACGGTTTTGATGACGAATTTACAAATTTGGCACGCAACAGATCTTTTTCTGATAACATTAAGGCTAGATTTGGACGATGAGGTATATCGCCATACCAACTCTGGAAATGTTGAAATCCTATAATATATACACATTTATATTAGCTGTCTATTCATGTTTGAACTGCGTGTAAAGTGATACCTTATTTAATATAATAATGAGATGTCATTTCGAATTACTGGTTATTAAATTTATTTAGGTTTACATACTATGCAATACATGTTTGCTGAGGTTATATCTGCTTGCCTTTCCGTTTAAAGGCAGATTTTGCCCTATATATACGGTGCCGTTCATCTCTAGTTTGTGCGTAATGATATCTTTTACATGCTTCAAAAGTTTGACACCCCAGACAAAAGTCACCTGCTTATTAGAAGCAACACAGCTAGAACAGTCGAGACTCGGGAACTATACGTTGCATGCACTATCCCAAACTTTATGACCATGTTTCAACTTTGAAATTAAATCATATGAACATTCTTAGCAATCGCACAGTGTAAGAGACAGTCAAGATCTAAGGCCACGTCTCGCGGGGCCGCTTATAAAGTTTTATAGCTGACCACATGCCGTTTGACGGTAGACAATGTAAATCTGTTTCATGTTCACACATTTGGTCGCAAATTAGTTCGATCTCTATGTTGTCCTGCTGGCTGTCCCCTATATATATATTGCGATGACACCCCCAATTATTTTCGCTATAGCAGGAATTTATGTCCAAAATTGCCTTAATCCTTTAAATAGCACACAAAACATATTGTTTATTATTGCCATTTTTCATTATTTTAAGCCCGGTCAACCCTGTTTAGTTAGCGCAAATTTACTGTGGTAACTATCATGCGATGGTAATTGTCTGCATGGGTGAAAATTACGAGTAAAAAAGTTGGTTCTTCAGGAAAATATGTTGAGTGCTTGCAATAGATAGTATTGCATTAGGCATCGTATGACGCATAATGACAATGACGCGCAAGGTAAAACAGGGGCAAAGATGTACAGGGTGTCCCAAAAAAGTCCCCACTATTGAAATGAAGCTTTTATTGGGATATGAATGCATGGTCAACGCAGTAGTGTGTTAATAGCATAGTTATTAGCTTAGGTTGAGGCACTCAAAAATAAAGCGTCTTGCTTTCAATTGGGTTTATCATAATATTAAAGGCAATCAGATTCTAACAAAGGCTTGATTTCAACAGAGGGGACTTTTTTGAGACACCCTGTGTTAAACGTGGCACAAACACATATCTCTAGCTTTGTATTTTAGCCCTGGGGTTAAATTTCCAACAAATTAGCGATGTATTTTTTTCTATACAGGTATTATCACATTCTCGTGAGCCGGAAACGCTATTAACCAAAATTTATCCCTCTTTGGAAAGCACCCTTGACCGTAATATTTTAAAATCTGCCAGAAACAGATCTCAATTCAATTAAATCCTTATTTTTGGCTAGACCAATGCTTGCCCTAACAACCTTGTGCTTTAACAAGTGCGTTGATGAGGTAAGTTTCTATCATGTTTTCTATTCTATTATATTATATTTTATATGTTTTATTATTTTAAATTAAATAATCACACCCACGTGGGTGGACTATTTAATTTACAGCTATTAGTTCAGCCGTGAATGTACAATTAAGGTGCGTCAACACTGAATGATTCTCAAGGCATGCGCGAACGCCTTGCAAGGAATTTCATACTTGGAGAATGTTGAAATGAGCCCGGGTACCCGAGATTTAACAAAGCGTGACATGACATTGAGGCATTGAAATGAGTAAATAACCTGAACCTGGTAATCATGTAGTCATCCTAACAATGTTCTTGTGTGGTTTCAGAAAGATTTAATTCTTTAAAATCATTGTACACTTTGTTAAATCTCGTGTAATCGAGTTCATGTGAACAGCCTCTTTCATAGGATAGGCGGTGAGTCAAAAGACGTTATGCTGTTTATATTATTCAAACTTTCCGCGAACGTATGAATTGTCTGATTCTACGCTTCCTTTCGCACATCAAGACGCTGTCGACTAAAGTTTACGTACGATTCGAGTGCAATTCTACTCCCAAAGCCTACGTTTGTTTTATACGATTCATGATTTATTTTTTCGGCAACTATTATCAAATTGCAGTCGCTATGCTTCAAATTTGCGTATGAAGGGCCTTGAAATTTATAACTTGCATTACTTTTGTTCTATACTTAATTGAACGTGAAGAAATAAAAAATCCAAAGGGCCGGTTATAATAAGACTAGGAAGGACACGGGCAATTTTAAAAGTTGCCCGCTTATTGCAACTGTCAAAAGTCACCGATATGCATTTTTGGTGAATGTTCCGCCTCCGTTAGATAATCCACCAAAGATCACAATGAAAGTTTATTTTAATGTTACCAACACAAATTACAGATACTCACTCCCTCACAGTCTCACTCTCTCACACTATTAACTCTCTGTCTATTGACATGCGTCATAACTAAATTAACTATGATTGATTATGCAGTATGACAGGGCCTGTCTCCAACACCCTCCCCCCATGAACTTTAGGAAAGTTTATGTCTCTATGGAGGACAGGTCACCTAACAAAACAGTTTGAACATAACTAATTGGATAAATGAGCTATTAAAGTTAAGTCTCCTACTGTTCGAGTTTCAATGTCTCTTGAATTCTTGCATCAGCTGCGACTGCTGCATCTCTTCGTTGACGGAAGGTCGGGGCATTCGGGTTTAACTTCTTGCCTTTCTCCCTTTTCTCTCGTACGTCGCAGGACAGCTCAAGGGGATAAAGGTGCTGTACCGGGCGTTCGAGTTCTCCTTTGCCTGTTTTCACCTTCACGGCTCGCGTCACCCCGTCTTTACCTGGAAACGTCTCTGTCACCACAGCTAGAGGCCAACTGCCACGGCTCTTTTCATCTGTCTGAACTACAACTACGTCGCCCTTCGAAACTTTCGAACTCGTACCTCCTGCACGCATCCTATGGCGCTCGCGTAGTGCCGTCAGATACTCTCGTCTCCACCGATTCCACAGCTGATCTTTGCATTTTCTCAGGAATTTCAGTCTCTTTCGCAGATCCTTGTCTTCTTCTTCGTGTGGTTGAAGTTCTGGCAAGTGGTTAGCTCTTTGGAACAGGAAACTCGCTGGAGTCAACACCGGTAGCTCCACGTCGTCTTCGACATAACTCAGCGGTCGTCTGTTTATCTGAGTTTCTACATCGAGTAAAACTTCGCTCAGCTCGTTCCAATATAGGATTCCCTTCCCGATTACTTTCCTGAGAGAGCTTTTGACGACTCCGATCAACCTTTCGAATTGACCCCCCCACCATGGGGCCCGAGACAAATTGAAGATCCATTTGATTTCGAACTCTTCGAGAAGCTCATGGAACTGTTCTTCCTTCTGAACTTTCTTAAGCCATTTCGTTGCTTTCACAAACGTCCCGCCGTTGTCAGAATAGATCACACGAGGTCTACCGCGACGGGCAATAAATCTCTTTAAACAGGGGATGAAAATCTCTGTCGTTAGATTTGGAAGCAACTCCAAATAGATGGCTCGAGATAAACTGCACGCGAAGATTACTAGGTAGGCTTTTGCTTCCTTCTTGGTTTTCTTGTACCGAATTGGGCCGGCGAAATCGACACCTACGACTTCGAACGCTGTTTCTCCGACGGTTCGATTCTTTGGAAGGTAGCCAGGTGCAGGCGTCTTGAACGCTACTGCCCGAAACCGCTTGCATCCCCAACATTCACTACGCACTCTTTTCACCAGCTGTCTAAGCTTCGGGATCCAATATGTTTCTCTTATAGCAGCCATGGTCAAACCGACACCGCCATGCAAAGTGATGGTATGGATTCGCTGGACCAACTTCCTTGTAAACGTAGCAGTGGTTGGCAGGTAGATTGGGTACGCTCCTTGTACTCTCCCATGACATAACAACACGCCGTCTGGATTCTCTTTGAGGTTGAGGGCTTCTTTCGTTTGGGTGAATTGTGGAGTATTGCTAGCTTTATCTTGGACTCGTTTGATCCACCATTGCTTTGCTTCGTTTGTCTCTGAAACACTAAGGGGCCCGTTTCGTTTCTCTCGGTACGTTCCTGCAATTGTGAACGAATCGTAGCACCCACGAAGTGACTCTCAATGTTCGACGCAGTTCGTTTCTCTCGAGGACAAGATCCAAATCATTGCTCTCTGCGTTTGTCTGGGCTGCGCACAGGACCTCACGGACAATCTTTGCCTCAGCTTGTGATTCTTTAGATGGTTGGATGATTGGACTTTCTGGCCACTTTTCTGGGTTTCCTAACCATCGTGGACCGTTCAACCACAACTCCGTCAACTGGCCTCCTCTGCTTCCAAGATCTGCAGGATTCTGATCTGTGGGAACATGATGCCATTCGACAGAGGTGTGCGCACGAACCTTTGCAACGCGATTTGCAACGAATTGCCGATACTCTCCTGCTCCTTCAATCCAGTAAAGGGCCACGGTGCTGTCCAACCAACAATGCTGTTCGATAACTTTGTCCTCCCCGATAGCTTTAGCGACATTTGTGATTAAATTAACGGCCATGTGTCCCGCGATGAGTTCAAGTCTGGGAATGGTAAGACCCCTCTTCGCGAGACGAGATTTGGCTGCGACGAGCATCTGTGTTTCACCCGAAACTTGTTTACTCACTCCGTAAACAGCAGCAGAGACTCCCTGGCCACTCGCGTCTCCAAAAGCATGAAGACAAATTTTGTTGATGTGTTCCTGGTATGGAGCTATCGGTCGTGGTACCGTCACAGATGAGGGCGTTGATTGTTCCCACGACAACCATCGCTTTCGTAGGCTACCTTCGAGTTCGGCATCCCATGGTAACTTGGCGTCACAGGTCTCGCGATAGATCAGTTTCCCTTGCAAGGTGAGGGGAGACGCAATGCCCAACGGGTCATATATCTTTGCGAGTCTACTGAGGATTTCTCTTTTTGTTGTTGTCTTGCCTCCAGCCTTTGGAAACAGGACGCTCAGCGAATCTTTGGCTTTGTTCCATGGCATTCCGAGCATCTTTGATTCGTTCGGGTTTACGCCAAGCTGCTGTTTGGCAGCAGTTTGGTCTTCGACTGCCTCATACTCTCCTGTGTTGTCTTCGAGGGCACTCACGTTCGAAGCCCACTTGTGAAGTTTGAAGGTCGTCTTCGAGGATGTTAATCGCTGCCTCTTTCCGTTGCTTCGCTTGGCCCACAGTTTCTCCACCACTGATGATGTCGTCAACGTAGAGGGACCGTTCGAGCTCTGCTACGTCTTCGGGCCGATGGCGTCTCCATTGTTCTAGGTGTGAGGCTATCACTCCCCCAAGAAGGAATGGCGATGAGGAAAGACCAAATAGGACTCTCGGAAACCGAAAGAGTTCTCAATCTCCACCGGTCGTCGTCCAATGAAATCGTAGTGCGTCTCGTTCTGCTTCTCTGATGCGAATCTGGAGAAACGCTTTCATGATATCACCAGTAAGAGCGACAGGAAAGGTTCGCTGTCGCACTAGCACTTCCCACATCTTGTTTTGTAAGGGTGGTCCAGGATAAAGGCATTCGTTCAGTGAAGGATCATGCTGGGATGGTTTCGCAGACGCGTCGTACACCACTCGCAATTTTGTTGTGGCGGCGCTTTCTCGGATGACTTCTCGATGGGGTATGTAGAACTCGACTCCGTTTACGAGGGTTGGCGCTTCTTCAACGACATCCTGCTGCATTTGGTCTTCTATCACTTCGGCGTAACGTTCGAAAAGATCTCGCTTGTTCAGCCGGTTCTGAAGGGCTGTAAGACGTCTCAAACTTCCTTCTCGATTGTCTTTGAGTGGTGGATGGTTCCCTTTCCACGGTAACCCCGTTTCGTACCAACCTTCTGGTGCTCTGGTCAACTGCTCTTTGAACTCGTTGTAGACTTCGAACTGATCGTGTTCGCTCTTATCTTCGAGTCCCAGCACGTCTAATCGACAAAGAGCTTCGTAATCAGCATGAGAAGTTTGAGTTGCCATCATCCTTGCTGCATCAAATTCGGTACCAGGGCTCATAACGAACCAACCCAGTTTTGTTAGCTCAGCTATTGGCTCCCCTTCTTTTCCAACTCGAGGTCTCTCTTGGGTTTTCACTCTTGCATATTCCCCACTGCCCAGGACGACATGGATTGGTAGGGATTTCTTGGTCTCGGTCTCATTTAGATTTACGCCTCTCAGATGAGGGTATTTCTGCAGAAGATTTTTGCAATTGGGATTCTCTACGAACAACAACTCGCCCTTGTTTACCTTTGTCAAATTCGTCTCGATTTCGTAGTCGGAATCTAGTGCTTGCACCTTGACTTTGTAGATCTCCAGTTGCGCAACTTTTGACGTCATCAACATGTCAATTCGACTGACTTTCTTTTCTACAGGCTGGAGTTTTAGAGCTTCTACCAGTTTTCCCGAAGCGTAGGAGCTACCTGCACCAGAATCGATCAGTGCTCTACAACGTATACCATTCACCATCACGACTACGACTGGAAAAATTGCTTCGTTTCCGGTTTTACTGGTCATTACCATCGGGTCGCCTTTCGGATTGGTATCACAGATAGATGTGTGATGTCGTTTCTCACAGATTTGACACGAACGTTTGCTCGGACAGTTCGCCGCTTTATGGTTACCGGCTGCACAATTGAAGCATAGTTTTTTCCTCGCTAGAATCTCTTTGCGACATTTAACGTCAGTGATTTTGTTGCATGAAACCGTCTTGTGGTCCCCCCCGTCGCAGTATGCACACGTACGTTCTGGGCTCTTCGAGAAAAACAACCGCCTTGACGATCTGTCTTGCTTCAACGATTTGTTTCCCTCTCCTTCGTTTGCTTCGACGATCGGATTTCGCCGCGTCCACAACCGGAGAGCCTCAGATAGCTTTGCAAAGTCCCATTCCTCCCAATCGGGATCGGTGCGCACCAAGTCCCCCCTGATTGCTTGAAGTTTGTCCAAGGTCATAGGGACATATCCATTCACCGTCTCTAGTTTGCTCAAAGTTTGAAGAGCTTGAACCGCATGCATCAACTGGTCATTAAATTGATGTATCTTCTTAAGATTAAGCTGATTAATAGTAGGTAAATCTATTATCAGTTTGATGTATGCTTTAATTACTTCGGAATTCTTTCCATACCGATCTTCAAGTATAGACTTGGCGCGATTATAGCCCTCAGGGGTGAAAGGTAAGCCTTCAATCGCAGTTTTAACCTTAGGCGACAAAAACCCGCACAAATACGCAAACTTATTCACTGGTGCCACGGAACGCTTGTCCACCGTCTCTGTAAATTGTCCCCAAAATCTCGGCCAATCAAGGGGCGACCCATCAAAGCGCGTTATTTCAATTTTGGGAAGTTTTGCATCGACAAAATTTCCCTGCTCAACATTCTTATCATTCTTTTGGGCTGACGTAGATTGCGCCTCTAGCTTGAGTTTATGCAATTCCATTTCAAACTGCATCTTACCTTTCTTCTCTGTAGTGTCTTTCTCTGCTTCTTTCTCTTGAAGCCATCGTTTGATTCGCGTAACTTCGATATCCGCCGCGTCGATTTTCTCGTCAACAGATGCGCCGTATTGCGTAATTTCGTCCACTTCGGTTTTCTCCGCTATTTGTAACTCTTCAACTTTTCGCTTGCGCTGATCAACTTCGCTAGTAATCACTTTAAGGGCGTTCAGTTGACGCTCGATTGATTCCTCGTTGCATTTCTCCAAAATACTCGCCGTTTTTTTCACAGATAGTTCTAATTGTGTAAGTTTAACATTTAACCTCGCCTTTGCCGATTCTAATTCCATAGTCTCGTGTAAAAATTACCACAATAAATACAGATACGCTGAATCCCGTCGCGGAGGTGCCAGGGTTTGGTGAATGTTCCGCCTCCGTTAGATAATCCACCAAAGATCACAATGAAAGTTTATTTTAATGTTACCAACACAAATTACAGATACTCACTCCCTCACAGTCTCACTCTCTCACACTATTAACTCTCTGTCTATTGACATGCGTCATAACTAAATTAACTATGATTGATTATGCAGTATGACAGGGCCTGTCTCCAACACATTGGTGGGGATTGGGCACAGTTGGCCACTCCGCTGTCAACTGCTTTCATCCATGTTGTCTGCATGTGCTATGTGACAGAAGCAACAGTTTTTAGCACTTGTTTCCTTCGGAACTTGCCTCTTTGACTTCATTTTTGTCGTTAGAGTGGTTTGCATGTATACAAACCTGTGTTTGTTTCGCAATATCGGATTGCCGCATTAGTTACGCAATGTTTTTCGAATGCATGTGTTGTGAAATATCAAATATGTGTTGTAAATTTAACTGATAATGACAAAGTTAAACAGTGATCTTCTGAAATATGCGTACGACCCTTGTTAATAAAGTTTACTTACATCCTGAAATTGATTCACAAAAATAAATGCTAACTCGCTAGTTACCTTAATAAATACTCTTGCGGACAATTTTATTGCAAACGATTACGTCATATTGACGTAATTACGTCATAATCTAATCTCGAGAGTTGTTTGTTTGTAGTGAAAAACACTAATAACAACGAAGAGGATACAATTATATTCTCGATAAATCAAATGGCTTGGAATCATAGGAACAACATCTACTACAATCGTCCCCAAAATGTGTTGAGACTTCAAATTATGCCCCCCTTCCCCCTATTTCAATGTTGTAGGACTTGTGTTAACGCTAACGAGGTGAACATTTGCCCTAAAATGATGTGGGCATGTGTAGGCATTGATTCCCAATACGTTACTTTATATGCTTGAACAGGTTACATTAGAAACAACATTGAAATAAGGGTAGGGGATGTTTGTCTCATTTATTATGTAGACGATTGTAGGTGTAATGATCGTGTCTGAATAATTTTTGCCATATTATTGACGTTCGCGTTCTGCTATTAGCCATATTTAGCCACGACGTGCACGACGTGGGCGTGAACGTTAAATACGTCGTAAAAATGGCGAATAAATGACGTGATGCACTAATATTCGGATTTGCCACCCGATTTTTTACGCCGTTTTCTTTCAGTGCTTTGACGTTTACGTCTTCATGCTAAATGTGCTTCTTGATATATAGCTCAATCAGGTAAAATTTGCAGCAATTAAAATTTGATCTTAAACTAGCTCTTTCAGTAAACCGAGGGGATCTGTCTGGTCAATTTTCTAAGACATGCAAGCAAACACTAAAAACAAACATGCACAATCGAGTAAAATCTAATGTTATTAATGCATGGAACAAGTTATTACTGCTCATTAATTTCGCACCAGCGTCGTTCAAAGTTGTGCTTTTAACTGGTGGATTTCGATCAAGAAACTTTCTCCAAACTTGGTTTGTACCGTACCACAGCTGTACTTCACGTGTGGATATAAGTCTCGACGATAAAAACGCTTTTTTGACGATATATTATTGTGCTGGGGCTGGTTGTATGAAGCCCGTTTAGCTTAAACGGTGGATAAGTCAAAATTAAATAACACTCTTACATCTCTCTTGAATGAGTCAACTTGAATATTATGCACTGAATATGTAGTTGTAAACAGTATCTTTGTATTAAGGTTAAAAACATTTAGTTCGCTTCTTGAATAAAACGGCAGACTTGCAGAATATTTTACGTGCTTAGCGTAGTTACGGGGCATTTAAATTATAACAATAGTTTAATTTCTAAAGGTCTTGTTTTTTATACACCCCGTATAATAATGGGACGTCATGCTCAAAGTTCAACTTGGGTCAACGCAAATGTCCATAATGCATATGAGAGCTGTTAATCCATTAATCTCGCAAGCCTGACTTTTCTATACTTATGCATGGTCCACGGCCCACGCTGCTTCGAAATTGGCGAAAACCCAGGTTTAGGCTGGCCATGTGACAGCGCAAAATCTCCTAATACGGCCATAAATTCATCTCTGTTAAAAAGACACGACCTACACGACTCGTAAATTTGGTTGAATTGAATGAATGTCTTCTCGACACATACGATTTGTCAAATAGTACTCGACCCGTACAGAAATGTGTCATTGATTCCACCGAGTTTGCTCGAGCCGTATACAATTGTAGTGGATACGGAGAAATGTGCCATGCTGTGTTGGCCGATAGAGGAGGCTATGTCTATTCGTCGACCCGTACGATTTATCAAATTGTACAAATCGACTCGACAATTCTCGCTCTTTCAAAACCTGTTTTTAAAGGCGCTTTAGCATTTAGGCCTTTTACAAGGGCTTTTTCGCGGGGTTCTTTATCTAAGCTTAATATATTGCGATGCTAAGAAAAAGCCCTTGTAAAAAGCCTAAATACTAAAGCGCCTGGGCAGTGGCGGATTCAAGGTAAGTCAGAATAAATAACACATCCCAATTTCTAATTAAAAATACCTTAATAACAACGCCATTGGGTCCTTTTTTTTAAAGAATACTTTTACATAAAAATCTACGGTAATATCGTGGCAAGTTAGAGCTGTGGGAATTTATTCTGACTTACACTGGATCCGCCACTGCGCCTGGGTACGAGGTAGATATATTAGCTATTTCGTATAACCTGTTGGAGAACCGGCAGAACAAATTTCCAAACAAATAACTTGCTTTGGTTAATATTATATAGAAAAGTAAATTTTTTCTGATAGCGAAATGTAAACAAGCAAGGGATATCATGACTTTAAAACCGGAAAACCAGCTTTAGAAGCACGATGATTAAATGATGAAGCACGTGGATTTATGTGCTACTTGTGTTCCAGCCATCCCTACAAGGGAGGAACGTAACAAAAGAATCACGTGACCAGCCTGAGACAGGGTTTTCGCCGCTGCGAGGAACGTAGAGGGCAGGTCGAAAAGCTTGGCTTGCTGCAATTTCTGTATTTTTATGGTTATAGTATTAATCTTCATTAACAAAAGGATCTCTCAACGCTTCGTGAGCATAAGGTCTATCATCAATCTTGTAATTTGTAAGCCAGGACACAAAATTTTGAGCTCTAACATCACAAAGTTTTTTCAAACTCACAGAGTTTCCGTCTAAAATATTTCTCATTCGATCGAACTTGGATCCAAACGGGTGTTCACTTTTAGTTAAGATGAAAAAAGCAACAATACCCGCGACATGGACATCCGATTTCTTTTTGAAAGGGCCTTTTTCGTCTTTGTCTATTGCCCGAATTACTTCCGGTGGCATCCATCCCGAAGTACCTTTAGCAAATGTTTCAACTGTCGTTTCATCGTCATTAAGAACGCGGCTTATTCCAAAGTCTGCCAATTTCATGCGACCTTCGATATCAACCAGGACGTTTGATGGCTTTAAATCTCTATGCAATATTCCTTTGCTATGAAGAAATTCAAGTCCGGATAAAATTTCCTTAGTCATTCTGGGGCCATGCAATTGCAGAAGTTCAATACTGCATGCATCAACATATTCCCTTAAGTTTTCTTCGCAAAGATCAATAATAAGATACATAAAGGTATCGTCACGGTGAAAATGTCGATAGTTCACTATAAATGGAGACTTGTCGGCTTCAATAAGGCTCATGATTTCTTTTTCATTTTCAACTGTTTTATCCTCACTTTGTACCAAAATTCTTTTAACAGCGACTTCACTTCCATCTTTCATGACACCAAGATAGACAGAGGAAAAACCACCATCGCCAATTTTGAATTGATTCTTTGCGATAAAAGCCTGCATCGGAATTTCGATCTATAGGAGAAAAATATAAATTTTTCATGGTGAAAAGAAAGGATATATATAGCCTACTTATGAGCGTTGGTTAGGCATTAGGCGTTTGCTACGATTTATTAGTTTATAGCTATCTTTTTGCGGACTCAAATTGCACTGCCGATGTCGATACACGTCAACCAATCTGCGATTATATCTTTTTGGCTGCAAATGGATTAATAAGTACATGGCTAAAAACGCTCAAGTTATTCCCAGCTGATGAAGCAATTTCATGCTGCATCCCACAAACATGGTTGTTGTTAGTTGCAGACTTGCAGTAACTTGTTGTGGCTTAAAACAAGTTGCTGTAACCTGATAACAATCATGCTCTTAGGGTGCAGCACAACAGAGGATGAAAACACTATTGAGACTATAAATTATTTGTTCCGCATGCACCTTTATAAAAAAATTGATACGGATCATGGTTCCCATGGCCATAACAAGAAGGAATTTCGTTACCGATAAACAATTCTTTTTTAGTATAAATATTAACTATCTCCGGCGAAAGGGTACATTAACTGTTTAAAAGTATTAAAATTTAGGCATTGGCTTAGCTTGAAAAATGTAAACCGAAATCCTTAACTCTCGATTAACCTTTGTTGATAAAATATTTTAAATATCTTAACTATTACCAGCATTAACTGGTTGAGATTCATATTTTGTAACAGCTCAATATTCTTCCGATGTTTTACGGACCTTTTCAGGATGGTTGATATCTCATCACGACCAAGATAAATACTTAATTCAAGAGGACTCATTTGCCTTCCATCAACAAAAAATGTTCCAGCTCTCCATACCTCTACGTTCTTGTCCAAAAGAAAATTGACCAAAATACATGAATTTTTCACAATACCCATCATCAGGACGTCAATGCCAAGAGTATGAACGCCGATTTTACTTTCTAAAGTTATATCAGCACCCTGTTCAATTAAATACAGGACAATTTCTAATGCACGAGCATCGATAGCGGCATGCAGGACTGACCATCCATAAGCGCTCTCTCCATTTACATTAGCGCCCTGCTCAACTAAGAATTCGACAATATCCAGTACGCCAGCCCTAACTGCACCGTGCAGCACTGTCCACCCGTCAGTATCCTTTCCATTTACATCGGCGCCCTGTTCAATGAGATATTTTATCACTTCTATCGTATTTTTAGTAATGGCATAGTGCAGCACCGTCCAGCCGTTAGTATCCTTGCAATTAACATCAGCGCCCATTTCAACAAGATATCTTACCATTTCTAAAGCGTCTTTAGTAACTGCATAGTGTAGCGCTGTCCCCCAGTCAGTCTTTTTGCCATTTAGATTAGCGTCTAGCTCAACAAGACATTTCACCATTTCTAGATCACCTTTAGTAACAGCATAGTGTAGCACTGTCCTCCCGTCAGCGTCCTTGCCAGTTAGATCAGCGCCCTTTTTAACAAGATATACCACAATTTCTAGCGATCCTTCCGTAACAGCAGTGTGCAGCGCTGTCCACCCGTAGGAATCCTCACTATTTACAGATGCGCCCTTTTCAACAAGATATTTTACCATTGCTAAATGACCTTTACTAACAGCTTTGTCCAGCACCGCACACTCTACAGTATCCTTGCCATTTACATCTGCACCATTTTCAACAAGATATTTTACAATTTCCAGCTTATCTCTAGAAATAGCGGCATGTAGCACTGACCCAAAAAAATTCACCCAGCCATTTACATCAGCGCCACGTTCAACTAAATACTTGACAATGTCTGTAACACCAGCATCAACAGCATGATGTAAAACGGTTTTTCCAAACTCGTCTTTACAATTTATATCAGCACGACACTCTTCAACGAAATATTTTACAATTCCTAATGATCCAGACTGTATTGCGCTCAGTAGAGCTGTGTAATCGTCTTGAAAATTATGTTCAGGGCCATATTTAACTAAATATTTAACAAGATCCAATGAACCGCTCTTTGTCACAATGCATAAAACTGTTTTACCTTCTTCGTTCGTGGAATAAATGTCTGCTCCATGGTAAACTAAATATTTAAAAATATTTTGATCTACCGGCCAAAACTGAAAGGCACGCCAAAAAATTGCCCTCTTCCAATGATCCTCTTTATTTTCACCACTTTCAACTTGCTTTCTTATTTCGTCCCAAAATTGCAGTTTTTCTGTTACCTCACCGAAATACCTTCCTCCACTTGATTCTTTCTTTCTTTTAATACCTATATAAATCATGAAATGTTTTTTCATGAAATGTTACTTATGTAGTCAGAACCTTGAACCTCAAATCAACCCGTGCCGCTCGAAATTCTACGAAACAATGAAAATTAACTTGCGTATCTATTTTCTACATTCATGCAAACACCTCAACGCTTTTTTAGGCCCTGTTTACACTATACCAGATTACTTTCCAGACCGAATTAATTTTCACTCCAAAGCAAAAAAGAAGGGTGTTTACACTATGCCGATTGCACCGTTTCGCTTTGTTGCCAGCTCATCACTTTTTGATGTTGCTATGGAAACAAAGCTAGAGTCATTCTCGTAAGGCACGACTTGGCTTACAAATTTCGCCCCAAAATAAGATTTGTACCGGATTGATCTGTTTACACAGCTTCGGTACATGTCGCTCCGCGGATCACAATGCAGTAGTGTAAACAGCAGCCCAATCTGGTACGAAAATCGCTCCGCTCTGATGCAATTTGCACAATGTTAAGGCTAGTTTCCACTCAGGAAAATTCTCCTTTGGATCGAATAGGACAGAACTCACTGACAAAGGAAATTTCCCTGTCCGTTCCGATCCAAACGAGATTTTTCCTGAGTGGAAACTAGCCTTTAGTGTAAAAAACGTCAATGGAGTGTAATAAACAAAAAGTTTCCAATTAAACATTTAGTTGCCAAAAATTTACCTCTCTCAAAAGTAGAATTGAGTAAATAACATGGTAGCCGTGTTGTCATCCTAATAATATAGCATGTGATTGTTTTGTTTCATAAAGACTTATTCTCGTCTGATCGGGCTTATGTGCACCGCTGTTTTAACCAAATTGTAGTTATAAGAGTAAAATGGCATTTAATGATAATTTCATGTCCACCGTAATCGAAAATGATGTGTGTTTGAATCTTTTCTCTGGCATAGTGCTTACATTGGGCTATATAGTTCTATCCAGATTCTGTTACAATCGGTGCATCAGTTGTTTGTCCAGTGTGCACGCTACCAAGTGTTTTTTAACAGGTAGCATTTATTTATTTTGTGTTATTTTGCTGATATGCAGTTTATTTGTATATGAGCTTGCACATGGTATTTCGTTTTGCAAATCATAGCCGATTACAAAAAACCTATTACAACATATCTTTTATAACTTCAAAAGGTTTTTTAAAATGTAAACTTGAAATTTGATAAAACAAATCTCACTTCTAAATTTTTATAACGTTGACTACACCGAGAAAATAAATATTTGAAGAATAACATTTGCCATTTAGCCTTTGACGAATTTAGTTACTGCTAGTGTTTGGATGTTTTGGAGGTTCAATTTTACTCCCGTTACTTAAGTTGTAAGAGTCCATAAATTACCTGCTTAATGTAAAAGAATAATAGATCATTTTATTTATATTTATGGCTAAATATTAGAGTAATGGAAATATTAGCTGTCGACTCATTGGGGGTAATTTCATATAATATATTAGCTTAGGTCTGGGTAGCCCATGAAATGAAGGTGAGGATTCCTGCATGCATGTATTTCTAGTACACGAATGAAAACAAACCTGCAGCAAGAAATTAATTATGAAAATTCTGCATATGATATTGCACTGAAGGCAAACGAAATGGATGCATGCAAGCGCAATCTCATTTCAGTATTTTTGTCCTATCTAAAAATTTATATCTTAGAGGTAAAATGATTGAAAGTCAGTAAGATAATTGCTTTGCATGCAAGCTGATTTCCTCACACATAAATCTGAGATCAAGTTCAACAACCATAACCTAACTTTAGCTGGCATTTCGGGATAAAACCAATCAGATGTTGGGGTTGCTTTTACCTAGCTGCATGCTTATTTATTATATGGCACGCGGTCTCGTGACTAAAATGGCGTGCGCTGATTGGTTCTTTGCCGGTCTGGAATCCCCAGTATTAGACCGTTGCCGTAGTAACCGTCCAACTCTCATATTTTTTAACAAAAACAAGCTTGCACTTTTATTTTTGACACGAAAAATATCGACGGAGAATGGATGAAGAAGAGCATTATTTGGTACATGTGAATATTATATTTATTCATCCTTGATTTTTGTTTATATTACTGTATCATTCTTATTTAACGAGTAAAAAACACAGTTTTGGAAGCCGCTTCAGTGCTTGCTTGGCGACTGGCTGGCGAAAGAGCCTGCAAGAATGCTGCAGCGCATTGTATAAATAAATAAATTAAATACTGTATGCCATATAATAAATCCCTTATTAACCGAATACGTTCGGTCCGTACTGGAAAAATATCAGACCTCGGTCTTTTATGTACGGACCTCGCTATCGTACTGTCAAGACCTCGGTCTGATATTTTTCTAGTACGGACCTTAAATTCGGTTAATAAGTGGTATATACTTTCGATTTGTGCAATGTCGGTTTTTTTATATACGTGTAGCGTCTACAAAAATATGCATGCATGCAATGTTAGAAAATTGAAATGGCAGAATTTACCAAAGAGGCGCGCTCTCAATCGTCATAGTTGGGTGAGGAAGACCTGCAAAAACCTGAGGAGGATTCTGTAGCGAAAAATACGAAACAGATAAACGTTCCGCATAGGGCACGAGTAAATTCAAGCACTAGCTGGTGGCAAAGGGGACATATTTTTTGCGGCCTTGCTGTCGTAGATGCTACTGAATTGAGCCGTATTTTTAGGAGATTTTATTGCGAAGTAAAAACCAATAAGAACAAAAAGGATCTCACACCAAGTGCCTTGACACTTGGTATTCGAGCAGCTATTCGACGCAAAATTACAAGCCAACCTATTTCACGGCCCGCGTCGACAACTAAAAGATCCCCAATTTTTGCACGCGAACAAAATATTCGAAGCTGTTTGCAAGCGGTACTACAAGAACGGAAATACGAACGGAAAGCACAAGGGTCCAATCGAAAGTGGAGATATGCAAAAACTAAAGTGTTATTCCTCGTGCGGCAGTGCATGTGAAAAGCTCGTCGAGTTTGTGTTGTTTAGTCTCTGCTATTATGCAGAAGACGCAAAGAAGGTTGACGTGAGCTGATGAAAAACTCCCTCGAATTTAACAAAGACGACCAAGTTAAAGAATACGCTATAATTAAGCAATTAGAGCAGAGCAAGGACCACTATGAAAGGCGGCTATCGACAAAAAAGACCCAGATTACTCAGATGTGCTGATGTAGAAAATACAAGGTGCAAAACTACTTCTTTTAGCTGCATTGAAATTTATGCTAAAGAAACTTCATCCGGACTGTAAAGTACTGTCTTACTCGGCTGATAAATGATTGACATGTCAGGGATCTTCTGGTTGAAGAACGAGCCCATGGGAAAAAATAATTTCTTAATTTATGCCAAAGAGATCGAAAAAGGCTGGCCTTACGCAAGGCTGCAATCCACATGCACCGTGTACGGGCTGCAACTATAAACAAGTCTCCATGAAGCCGAGGTAGATACCAAACAAACTTCCGCACAGGAACGAACAAAGCTTGAATTTATTATTAAAGATAGCTTAAATTCACAGAAACCTGTTTGTTAAATGTAGTCTAGGACCTGTTCAGGAGTTTGTATGCATTTCATTTAGGACAGATTATCTCGGGTAAAATGACCATGGCGGTCAATATGGCATACGTGCCAAAATCTTAATCCGGGATTAAAGTCCTGAAAATGACCACGGCCAGAAAGGCAACAGTCGACATAGCTCTAAATCCAGAATGATCAAAGTTACAGTTTTTCTGAATTGCTTTTAGGTGTGGTCACTGGAGGCTAAAATTATCCTAAGTTTCATATCTTACAAGAAAATGAATGTTTACCATCCCATGTTTACAATTTCTACTCTTCCAACAAGCTGCAAGCTCGTTCCTGGCGGGACCCTTTTTACATGGAAACCCTGCGAGCACGAGTTTGGCAAGCCGAACAGGATATTATGTTTTGGCAGCATTTCTACATTTTACGTTGGTAGAGCCTAGGCTCTTCACTTATAGCATCCCCGCTGATTTTGGGACGTATTCTAAAATTCTTACCATCGTCACACTCTTCGTTTTGAATATCTTTCACTCGGCGTTCCTCTTCAGCCCACCTTTTTTTAACAATATTAATAACAGGCTTGAGTTGTTCAATTTTCGACGCAGCTATTACGTCGCTGTCCTGAGCCTGGGACATCATATCATCATCTTCCTTGGATTCAGTCATTCATATGTTATTCTTTCACACGCTTTTTTAATATGGCATACTGGGATCCTAAAAAACAAAAATACAGTTGTAACCTCGGAAAGTAAAACAGAAAACTTCTAGAGGGTTAGCTAATACGGTGTTCCGTTCACCGTAACAAGAAACGAAGAAACCTCTTTGGATTGGTGTCGTAGCCTCCTCCGCAGGCATAATATAAATGCGTAATATAAATACATAAGAGATGCCTGCGGAGGAGCCTATTGGTGTAGAGGAGTAAAGTTATTTTATAGCACACTATTCGATCCTGACTGATATCGATTCTCCGGAGTTCACTCGACCCAGTCTTTTCAGGCGAGCTATATATTGTCTGATCTCAGACAATATCCGGCGGATCTCGATCTAATGTCTGTCCCACTGTGTCTGGTAAGATTATTTTCCGTGGCATAACGTCACATTTTAGAATATTATTCAAATAAGGGGAAGTGAACGACAATAGCTCTTATTCTGAATCTCGCTATGTTTTGGTTTGTTAACGAAGATAATTTATTGGTTGATTCACTGCCGCTTCTATAAAACGGGGCGATGAACTGTTTAGCCTGGAGGCCGGTGAGTAAGGGAGCGGTCATTAAGTATGTGTCATGGGGGGGCGGAGGCTAATTTCCAAATTTTTCGAAAAGTTTTGTACCCCTTCCTCTGATTCAAGATATTGCTTGATGCCCCTCCAAATAATCAAAAAAAAAATTCATACCCCTCCTTGATATACCATACTATACTTGACATTACTTGTATATTCTGCTTTTCCTTCTAAACCTGTTTATTAATTAAATGACGAAGATTAGAATACGATTATTTACTTAAGTAAAGTAACTGATTAGCATACTGCAGCCATGCTGTTACCAAAACTTCTTTAAGACAAAACATTTTGCATTTAAAAAGAAATGTGTTATAGCCCATGCTACAGACATATACACACATATTGATGAACATGAATGCCCACAAATGAAATTCAAAATAACCTATGCTTAAAATTTCCATGTACTATATACTCACAAATTTGCTTGCTTTCCAGTTTGTAGTAACTCTGCCACTCCTAGTTTTGGTAAAGATTTCTTCAACATTTTCATGACCATCACTGTCACTCTGATCACTTTCCATGTCACTTTCATCACTTTCCATGTCATCAGCAGATGATTCCAGGTCCATATCACCTGTGTCTGCAAATACCAGATCATTATCACTCATGCTTTCACTTTCCAGATCTTCATCAGAGGTGTCTGAATCAGTAGTAAGATTGTCCTGGGCAGGTACCACAGGTTCATTTAGCATTGTTGAGGCTATGTGAGCAGAAATATACTTGACTTTCTCTGTTTTACTAAGATGAAGTGATTGGCAAAGACCGAAGTGGTTGAGATATTTATCTAGTTCTGTCACTCTCAGTTTCTTGATCAAACCATCTTTCAAAAGTACAGGCCAGTCATAATCTTTGAATGTTTTGCTGTTTTGTTGCTCTTTTGCAATTTTCCTTTTTTCAGCTCTTTTACTCTTATTGATTTCTAACACTTTCAAATGATCAACATACTTTGTCAACAATGTTCTGTCAACAATGTATTTTTTACTAAATGCATCAATCTCTTCATCTGTAGAGAGTTTTTGTAGATGGTCTTTCACTTGTTTCCTTGGTTGAAAATCATCTACTTTTCGACATACACCATTAATCTCAGATGGAGTATTGAGCACACTCATGTAATGCATTCCATCAGCATCATAATCTGGCATTGGCTTTGGTATCTTGTGACAAGCTGACCCAACCCAACCAGACTCATTACAGTGTACACAGGATGAGGAATTGCAAGAGTACCTTACATATTCCATATACTTCTCCCCAACTTCAAAGTGTTCCTCCATGAATGTCTGAACAAGTTTGAAATAGTTGGCACCAGGTAATGACAATTTGGTCTTCTCAGAGGAAGAAATGTAGTCCTTAAGGTAATCGTGGTTGTTGAAAAACAGGTTCTCACTCTTTTCAGATGAATATGCCTTCATGTATCCACCAGGAGCAGGAGCACCGTCAATACGCAAAGTCAGTTCATCGCACACTTTGTAAGCATTATACTTCATTCTATCCAACTCACTCTTCTCAAGGTCTTCAATTGACATCTGGCTTAACTGATCTTCAGAGAGTCCTTCATATTGTTGTCGGTACTCCCAGTCTATGGGACCCCCATCACAGATGGCATCTCCAACATAGCTTTGTATTCGTTCTACCTCATTATGACTACTGTCATCTGTTGCTAAGTGGTGGCGGATGTAGTAATCTAAATTGGTTAACATAGTTATTTCAGCGATTCGAAATTTTACATCGTGATTTGTGACCCCCACCCCAGGACCTGCATCAGTAAATTCGTGTACCCGTGGCTTTAATGTTGGAACAAATTTGGAGATTTCTTTCTGAAGATCATTGCACAGTTTAGCCATCCTGCTGATATCATCCCAAACATTCAAACCAAAACTGCACGATTCTAGAGTAAGCTGTAACTTTTCTATTGACTTTAGTAACAAATTCACCTTTTCATTTACAACTGTTTGCAGATGTTTTGATCCAAAACAGTCAGCAACAGTGTGCTTCAGTGAGAGCAGTCTCTTCGCTTCGTATTCTCTGTATTGGCAGCCCTGCTCTTTAGTTACATTTAGTACATCATTCTTAATTGTTGACATTGAATAAAGCTTTAACTTGTCTAATAGTTGTATATTGCAACTAAGCTGATCTACATCAAGCTCATCGGTCTGGCTTGAAAGAAATAAAGATGGTTTCAAATAGCGTAATTGCATAAACTCCGAAGCCCACACTGATCCATTGCTGCCTATGAAATGTTTTGGTCTGTTAAAAACAACTGTATTGTCATGAGTCATCTTAATTTTGGTTTCATTGTCAACATCCTTAAGCTCAAAGTCCATGATCCGATTTACACCAGGTGTTATGTTAACAAGCCTCATTGGGAAGTCATACTTGGGCAAGGTTTTTTGCTTCGAGACGTCAGATGGCTGAATGATATGGACATTTCTGGCACTTTGAACACCTATATATATATAAAAAAATAACAAACGCTTAATATGTACTGTATGATGTATTGAGTACTATAGTAACAAAAGTAGTGACACAAACAGTACCTGTGCTTGTGCCAGGACATATGTACGCCTTATCATCCCTGGATATAAACAAGTTAAAATTAGCCTCTTCGTCTTTGGATGCATGTAGTTGCTTGAGGAGTATACCCTTTTTGAAGGCTCGCTGGTGATGGGTCAATATATTGTCATTGTCTTTAAGCTTTGGTGGTTTTTTGCCACAAAATAAACCAAGACCTAAATGTTTCTTAGCCTGCATACTTCTCTTGTTTCTTGGTCTTCCACGGTTGAAAACTGTTGTTGCTGACTTAATGGGTTTAAGTCCCCTGGACATTCTGCTGTAATTTGCAAGTTTTAAGAAGTCTTTTTTCTTTACTCTATGACCTGTATATAATACAGCATCGTGTCTTCTGCCATGGGCAGTTGCTTTCTCCTCAATGCATTGCAGGATAAATTGTTCATCTTCCTCATCAATTTGCTGTGGTCTCCCGGAGCTTGCTTTTCTCATTCCAACTCTTTTTTTCAACAACTAGTTTCCTGTATTTCCTGTTTATCATCTGATGTAATCCTTTTGAATTTTTTCCATCAACAATCTCTTGAAATTTAAGTTTTCTGTCCTTTAGGTCTTCTATTTTCTCAGTCAACTCACCACGCTGTTGTTCATTTAATAGGTTTGATTTCTTCTCTAAACTCCTCGTCGTGTAAAATCATGTGATCAATCCTAGATATATTTTCTGATAGTTTGTTCTTGACATCCGTTTCTGCTTGATTTCTCACGGCTTTCCTAGTTTCAATGGCTTCCATTACTTGAGATTTGTATTTGTAAACTCTTGAGCCAAGACCTGTTTCTTTGTGTTTTTGCTTTGAAAGGTCTTTCCCTAAGATAACCTTACACACCTTTCTGTCCCAACTTGTGTCTAGACTATCCAAAATACTGTTTACTTGTGTGGCTGAAAAATGTTCCTTTTCTCCATCGTCTTTTGTCTGAGAGACTTCTTCAAGAAACAAATCAAGGTCAACATCTCCTGATCGCAACAAAACGTACTGGTTCTGTACAAGATAAACTGGAAGGCCATTTTTTGGATGGCAAACCAAATCCAAAAACCTTTTCTTCTGGTGCCGATCCGTTAACATTGACTTTTGTGCATTCGAACGATATGAAAGGAACAAAGCCAAGGCTTCGTTGAAATTCATGTAAGAAAGACGCACCGTTTTGTTCCCAATTTCAATATTTGCCATCAAGGTCTGCAGCACGGCTCTCAGTCCTTTCAAATTTTCAACATGGGCTCGGTTTTCATGTGAAGAATTGAATTCTCTCTCAAAATAGCTGATCCGTTCTGACAAGTAGACTTCACAGTTATTTGGTGCACAAACTTGTAAAGACACCCTAACACGCTCTGACACTTTGGAATCTTCCCGTATTTTAGACCTGAGGGTGTTGTTAACCTCCATATTTGCATTTTATATTTGCATCGTATTCGTTTTGCATTTATATTTGCATTGATTTGCATAATTATCTCTTGTCAATATTTCTGGGACTGGTGACTAGATGTTGTGATGTTTTCAAAATGGCGTCTGGAGAAAGTAGGATTCGAGAATTTCTTGAGAAAAATAACCTGTCCCAATACTTTGACAACTTTATAGATCAAGGTTATGATGACATGGATCAAATACTTTCAATGGCCAACAACCCTTTAGAGCTTGATAGTGTGATGAAAGATGTCGCTATTTTCGAAAAACCAGGGCACAAAAAAAGGTTTGTCGGGGCTGTCCAGATTTGGCCTCGAAGGCAAAGCACGGGGAACCAGGCAAAAGCCCAGAAACCAGAGTGAATACGCCTGAAAGTAATCGAGGAAGTACTAATGATATAACCAAATGTGAGTATTAAAATCCAAGGCCAAGTAATCAACCGAAAGTAAATCTCTGAACAGACAGTTTCTTAAATTACAACAAAATATTTTTTATATTAAACTCTGAGGATGGTTCTGAAATGAAGTGAAATTAAATATTAATATTGATATATACAGCAGAGTTTGATGTATGAAGAAAGACTTAATGTTAAAAAAATACTTATGACTTTAATATTGTAATATTGTTGACTTTAATACTTATGACTTATGAACCTTTGACAGTTCATTTGTTCTTATTCGTTAATCTTTGATATTCAGTAGAAATAACTGTATCTTTTGACTTATAAAGAAGTTAATACTGAAATGCTGAATGAACTTTTGCTTTACATTGCTTGTGTTTGTTTTGCAATGTGTTGATATAATAAATAGAATTAAATCACTCCCTTTACATTTATAGGGCCCTCTATTGCAAAGGACCTGTGGATTCCTAATCCTCTGACACCACAACTAGCTTTCCACAACATGGTGCTGGAAGGAATTTACAATTCGAGCTTTGAGCTTATGGCACCACTGCAATTTAAAGACTATGTTATCTCTCAACGTATCTCTCGATGGAAAATTGAAAAAAGTGTTACTGATTTACAAAAAAAAAATAGAGAATCAGCTAAATCCTGAAAGTAGAAATGGCAAAGCTCAAAATATAGCCCGTTTTTCAGCTGACACTGTCAATACAATAAAGCCTGGAGACCTCTTCAAAGCAGAGTCTTCACAGAAAGATGTTCAAAACCTATTGGACGAAGTTTTGAAAAAAAAGCAAGAAATTACAGAACTACGCTCTAATTTGTTTAACAAAGATATGAGCATAAAGCCTTGGCGTGCAAATGAGCTGATGTTTTATGATTCAAAGAAAACTTTGCTGGAAGAACTTAACAACTCTTTGCAAAAAACACATACTATGATAATTACCAACAGCAATCTTTTAAAGAGAAGGGCCAATGCTTCTGCAGAGGAAACTGCTGAAGCAAAACGCAAGAAAAGATCTGCAAGAACAAATGCACGGAAATCGGCGAAAGAGAAGGAAAAAAGGTTTATTAACCAGGTAGATGAAGTGTTAAAATTGCTAACAGATGGCAAATTTACTCAAGTTATGGTAAAAGAAAGGGAAGGAATTTCAATATGTCTTGAAGATATCAATCAGAACTGCCATTTGGTTGCCAGATTTCACCATAAAGCATTGTCTTGGCTGATTAAAGCAGACTATTTTGCAACAGATGCCTTAGACTTTGTCATTGGCTTGGCCACACAAATGGAATCAAAACTTGAAAAATCTAGAGAGATCAATATTGTGAGAAAAGAAAAATTTGCCTCATCGAAGAAACAGAGAACTCTTTTCCAATGTTGTGTTAATATTTATAATAACTCTGAAGAAGTGACAGCTAGTACTTCACATAGTGAAGAATTAGATTCTGACACAGAACTGCATATAGACAGTGATGAAAGTGACTGAATAATTGGAATTTTTGCAGACAGTATATGTTAGTAATTATTTAGACAATGAAACTCCAATGTGACATTTTTTGTTTAGTACCCCTCCCTTTTTCCCACAAAATGTTTCGAGCCCCCTCCTAAATTAGAAATTTTGTTTCATACCCCTCCCGAATAGCCTCCGCCCCCCCATGACACATACTTAATGACCGCTCCCTAATATAAGAAAGTAATTTATAGAGGCGCATTCAAGTTTCAACAGCGCCAAATATTTTAATTTAATTTTTATTGAAAAACACGAAAATAAACAAAAATTACGGATAAACAAACATTAACATGTTAAGCTACCAGGGCCGTAGCTAGACCGCTTAATTGGGGGGGTGTATATTCATATATTCATGTTTATATACCATAGGAACAATAGCATACAAAAGAAATCATTCGGGCATATGACGTATATATGAATATGCACCCCCCCAATTAAGCTTCTAGCTACGGCCCTGTAAGCTACTACAAACGTCCTCCGCGTCGTCTGAGTTGTCTGTACTGCATTCGAATTCTGCTAATACGCAACTTTGCTCGACCTGTAAGTGGGCTTATATTCGGGGGGGGCTTATATTTGGAATGAAGTGAATGTTAATAATGTGATGGGCTTATAGACGGGGGGGGCTTATATTTGGGGGCTTATAGTCGGAGGTTTACAGTAATTGTAAAATGAATCAAGGTGTTTAAAAAATGCAGATTCTATGCCCAAAATTCACTGCATTATTTGAATGTAGTCTTGTAGAAAGTATGATTGACGTTCACCTCTGCCTAGCTGTCAAATATCAAATTAGCTATATTGTAACCGGGGTACAGTACTGATTTTCAGACAGGAAGATGTGGAAAGTATAATTCACTGCCAATTTTAGACCAACATTTCAAATATCAAATTTGCTATATATATATATATATATATACACCCATTTGCAAAAACGTTGGCCGCAGATAGATAGATACTCGAAGTCTAATTAGAATTGCATATGATTACATTTGCATGGGATTTCTATAATATTACACAACATATGCAATTCTAATTAGATTTCGAGTATCCATATAGTATATATATATATATATTAATATATATATATATATAATATATATTATATATATATATATATATATATGAATTTGAATATATATTCATATTTATTTATTATTTGTATATATATATATATATATATATATATATATATATATATATATATATATATATATCTGTGTGTGTGTGTGTAACTTCTTTGTCAGTTTATCTTACCGGTATCATTTTAATGTTTTCTATATATAATTTGTTAAATTTTGTAAAAATTATACATTTATATCTACATGTTTCACATCCGCGATTTTTGGGATGTTACTTGGATGAACGAACTCACACCCAGACAAGAAACGTTTTTGTATTTAACTTCTTTTTTCCACAGATCCTGCACTACGGCACACATATATTTTCTATATTTGTGCTGAGAGTCAACTATATAAACAGAACGTAATTATACAAATCATAATTATAAGGATGAAGGACTTAAACAGACTTTAACTCACAATTCGGTGAGAGGTTATGGTTTTACTTCTTGTCCTGCACTACTTGTTAAATATAAACGTCAAACGATTTCTGTTCAGTAATCTTGAGTTTTTTCTTCCTGATCTCCTTGTCCCCTCCTTTCTCGTTCCCAGCTCCCCTTCCTGAACTGCGCTCTAATGTTGGTTAAATATTATAACTGATAAGCTAATACTAATACCATATGTTCAGAACACTACATATCAAAGTTTCCCTTATAACATGAGAAGTATTATTAACTGTATGCAAGTACTGCAGGTTTTTCATTTTTCCAATCCAGTTAAGCTATGTTAATGCATTTTCTTATTTTGCCCTCATTAATGTCACACTATTGTCTTGGTCTTTTTTTAAAAAATTTCTGAATAAAACTGTTACCTATCCCTAAAATTAATCTAAACATTAAAGTAAAGATTTTTCATTCAGATCTTTAGCAGCAATTTTTCCTTTTGACAATAACTTCTAGTTATTGAGTAACAAGCTGGAATTGTGTTTTAAACTAATCCGCAGAAACATATTTGTTTACATTTTTCATACAATTAAGCCAATCAGAATGCTTAAGTTTTTAACACTTCATGTTAAATGGTAATAACTGTGCCTTTTTACTGGAAGTACTCAACATTCATGCATTCTGATTGGGTTTCTGAAAATATAGACAAACTCATGTACTGATTGAAACTTGCCCCCCTCCCTTGCTTACTGCAGTACAATTAACGATTTTACAAAAATAAATTAAATGGTAGAAAGTTTTTTGCATACAATCTAAACTGCCATATCAGGATCAGAAAGGTATAGAGTTTCTGGTCACACACATGACATTCCTGTTTCTTCAAGCTTCATATTTTGCATGTAACAAAATATAGAATAGCATTGTCACATGTGTGACCATGAGAGAATCACCCTATAGGTAAACAAATTAACATACTGCCAAAAGTACAAAATAGTGCGTAAAAGTGACATACACTGTTATTCGAGAAGGTTTAAATTAATATCATGAGATTTCAATATTCCTATTAATTGCACTGCTCTTCTGGAAGTTGAGGAACCCTATTTATACTACAAAATATATTATTTTAATTTAGATAACATGAAGTTCTAACAAACTCTCCTCAGAAAGGCCCTCAGGTAAAAAACATTGAGAAGTGTTTTTTGTCTAACTTAGGCAGTTGTTATACCAAATTTGATGTTACGTTTTCATACTAATACTATATACGTATATAGGCAAATTATTCTCAGTGAAAAAAGTAATGAATTGTATGAATGTGCAATTACCATATGTACAGTCCATAGATATAATAGATATTATTGTATGTAAAATAATATGTCTATTATTTCTATGATATAGTCACAAACACTAGATAAACTTATATGACTGCAAATGGAAGAAATTTGTAAACAGAACACCTAACCAAATATTAACGTACCTTTAATCTTTCACTATTTTATTTAAGCTAAACAAAATACAATATTTTATTTTAATTCATCTCCAGGACAAAAGTGTCTAGTCCTGAAAATTTTTACTTTTGAGATATTGTCCACAAATGTATGGGGATTGAATGTGATTTTTTTTTTGCTATGAAAAATATATAATCAAGGTCTTGCATACAGTATATTCATAAATTAAGGAAACAATACAATAGAACAATGAAACAATTAATAGAGAAAGCCAATCAACATTTAAGTTGTTTACTGAGGGTATAAGCTGATTAATAAAATTTTATGTTTTATTCTTATGTTCTTTATATATTTTGAAGAGAAGAAATATCTAGCATCTCAGTATAACGTCACTGGTATTAATCATAATATGATCATAATTTGTAATTGTATATTTGCCCTTTTTGAAGTATCCCAGTACTGTCGGATGTGAATTGGCTTCACTTATGAATATGTGTCAATGAAAGCAGTTGGATGCCTATTGACAAAGCAATACCTTGCCAAATGCCTTATATACTGCAGAGTCTTTTTCCTATGGGCATAATTGCCTTCTTGTACCTTACCTACCTACATAATTTTGGGCCGCCTTTGAGGCTGGGATCTAGGCCAAATTTCTCTTTAAATCTCTTCTCTGACTCTGAGAGGCAATATGTATCCAAATTCTTTCTGTAAAGACATTTATATTAACTATTAACAATTACTTGTGACCTTTTTATTATAAATCTATATATCTCTTGCACTAAAACACTACACACACATTACTTTCACACCCTAACTGAAAAAGCTATAATTACAAACCTAATTAATCCAGTTTGTGCAAATAAGTTGTTTATAAACTGGTTTAGGTTACTACTATGTTGTGAAAAGTTATTATAGATGAATCAAGTGTAGCGCCATAGAATATTAGACAAGCAACTTTAACTTACTTCAAGCAAATTCTTGTAACTGATTAATCTCACTCTAGGAGACTTTATAATAATAAATAATAAGGTCGACTAAAGGTGATTTAAAGTAACTTTTAGGCGGACCAAAGGTGATTTTAGGGCTTAGTGTAAGCCTATTAATTATGACTTATACTCACCTCTATTTTAAACAATAACTCGTTAATGGCGAGGTCACAAATATTCAACTCAGCAATAACATGATTATGTGCGTCTCAGTTCTATAGTGCTGGATTAAATTCCTACTTTAAATAGTTGGTATACTACAACATCGATCGACGATATGGCATCAAAAATGAAAAAAAATGATTCAATCAAAATCTTTGTAATCTTGTAAATTCAGTAATAACTTTAATCATTTTATCGCGATTCCCCGAAATTCCCGAATCACGGCGTAGAGGCCTGGAGCCGGTTATTCAAAAACCGGTCAAAGTAAATCTTTTCATTAATTTTTTTTATCGCTTGAGTTGAATATCTTTTCCCCTAAATATTTTAAACTTGAATAAAATAAAATACAAATATTATACACCTTATTACACACCTTAAGATCTAACCCAGGGTTAGCGCTAACTTGCCCCTGGGGGCAGGCTTCAATTTCGGCCATCTTGCATGGCTTCAAATTTCTCGCAGAGCCATGTCGCAGAGCTAGCTTTCCAGTCTTATTTTAGTTGATTCCCAGGGGGAATACCCGTCCCGAGTATTCCGGCGAAAAAACATCCTGTTTGAAAAATAATTATATAAACGCGGGAAGGGAGAATATCCCGTCCCGGCAAACGACCCGTCCCGCCTCATACAAACAGGGCCTAACTCAAATGTTTTATTCAGTTTTTAACAATTATTAATTCATTTACAAGATATCTTTAACATTAGGGTAAATCAATTTTGATTTTTGGCACTTCAATCGACGCAGGTAAATTCTAGAGGTTCAAAGGGTCGTTCGAGTGGAATTATACACACAGCAAGTTCTCCGTCAGGAATCGAACCGATGACTCATTTTTCCATTAACTGTTCCTGGCTTGAATTTGTACTGTGCATAATTTATCTCATTAAATTATACGATTATTTCACAAATTCTTCGGTGAAATGTCTTTTTTTTACACTGAACGTTTTGCCAGATTGTTAGTAATTGACAGGACAATTTTGAGAAAAAGTTATCGATACCAAAAAATAAAAAGGGAATAATACATTGTTTTACGCAATTAAGAAAATCCTGTCGATAACTTTTTTTTTTAAATTGTCCGGTCGTTTACTAAATGACTTACAAAGCATTCGGAGAAAAATAAAATAAAATTCACCGAAGGTTTCACAAAATTTCAAATTAAGACCCTGTCCACACTTATCCGAAGATTTTTAATAACGGAGGATTTTTTCTCCGCTTTTAAAAAAATTTGCATCCACAAGAAGCGTATTCGAATCGTTTTTGCCCGTCGACAAGTAAACGCTAAAACGAAAGAAATTTGATAGCGCCAGGCGTAGAGCATGCGCATTTCCAAGTAATATGAGCGCTTCGAAACGATCGCAGAGCTAGAATGGCAATAATTTATGCGCGCCGTGATAACAACTATGTTAATTTGGCGGAATTTAAAAACAATTACGCGTATTTGCTTTCGGTTCGCTTTATGCTCGCTCTTTCTTGAACTAAATGACCAAAATCTTATTTTAAATACTCTCCGTGCCGGTTTAGCATGGTAACTGCTAGCAGCTGAAGCTGAATGCATGCTATTAGACTTGAAACTATGAAAAAGGCCAAAGTAAAAAAGCGAAGCAATTTTAGTTCGCCATCTTGAAGAGATACAAAACACTCGTCGTTAATGGCCCATTATAGACTGGATCCTATTATCAACTTCATCGAATTTGCCGGAAAACCTCCGTTTTTGTCCCTTCTTCACGTAAACACGAAACCGGAATTTTCGACAAACTCCACTCTGGAGAGCGTTCTTGAAAACCTCCGTTCTCGGTTGCCGAAAACGCCGGTTACGGTGTGGAGGCAGGGCCAAAACGGATAAAAAACCTCCGCTTTTAAAATTATCAGATACGTGTAGACGGGGCCTAAAATATAATTAGCGGCCATGTTGAAACTTCATTCTTACCATAGCAACGGTTTTCATAGTTAATCCATCAACCAACCAGCTTCTCATCCCTGTCCTACTGTACAATATAATCAAAATTATTATTGATCTTTAGTCCACAATATTGCTGTTTAATTCTGTACAACAAACCTGATATTTTTACAAAACAGGGAGCCACCTTAATTTAAATTTACAAAATTGATTTAAAGTCCCTGAAATTAGTTTGAGTATTAGAACGAGATTTCTTTCTAAAGGAAATCAAATTTCCCAAATATATTCTCCGACATTCCAACAGTAAGAAATTGTCCATAAGTATGACGTCATTGCCGTTGTTATGTATGGTACAACTAATGGCGATTCAATATAGCCGACATTTTATATTTTACTCGGTTCACGCATTTTACAAGTTCGCTTACCGCTATTTTTTATTTTATAAGACGTTTTCTTGCAAGAAAATGCAAAATTTGAACAAGTTTAAAAAAATCTGTCGAAGCAAAAATTATTAAAAATTAAAAAACGTGATTGTTCGTCTCAAAATCAACCGCAAAATATTAAGAGGAAAAAATCATAGTTGGTCAGTGGTAACTACCATGGCAACTAGGAACGAGTGGTGTGAATCTTGCGCCAGAAAAAGCCAAACTCCGCCATATAATTCTAAATAGTTGGGAGAAATTCCTTCAGGAATTTAATATAGAGCTCAGTGGGTAAAGCCTTTACAACATAGATCTGATGTTGACATATGTCGTTGCCCGTCCGCAACAAAAAAGTTCAGTGCGGGTAGTGAATTTAGATAAATAAGATAATTATTCTAGAAAAGGACGAAATAATACAATTATTTTTTTATTAAATTAATCTCCGACGTAGGTGAACAGTAATATGTTTTTAGTTTATGATGGTATATTGTTGACTATTATTCTGGTGTAAAATGTTGTTATCCTAGCACAGTACCCTAACTCAAAAAGTCCGGTGTTTGTACTTAAAATATTTAATATAAAGTTAAAAAAATTTTTGAAATATTTATGCGCACCTTGATTGACAGGCATAAATTGCAATGATGAAAATAATGATTTTTTTTCTTCAGTTCTCTTAAACACATCACATGTCTGCAAAGTTAATATTTCTCACGGGAAAGATGCTTTTACCGATTGCTTTAACCTTACTTACAACTGTAATGACATGGAAAACTATATTTTTTCCTTTCTATAATTATTATATGCTTTATGCTTCTTATGAAACCGCCCTTGCAATTCTATTCAAATCGGTTATTATGCATTTTTCTTATAAAAATTTTTATTTCCGGTTACCATATTTTCATTATTAAATGTTTTATTAGCCTTAAACTCGCGAAGGTTTGTAATAGACAATTTGCTGAGAGTACAGTTAATTACCGCTTTTTAGCTAAAAACAATATTTTATATCTTATGAATGTAAAAAATTTTAAAACTATTACTGATAGGAATAATTTGATTCCGTAACACACCGTGTATAAGCTACTTTGAAAATGAATAGAAAATAAAATTGTTATTTTCTTATCCATGATTATGCATGACGACCTGGTGTAAATATTCAAACAATATAATTGGATAAGGTTGAACACGAGAATTATCAAGGCCGAGGTGAATAACACAAACCGATGCCTTGATAATGCTTCACTTCTAATTTTCATGTTGAATGCCATACTCCATTTTTTGAAGCTTATACTTTATTGATAGACAAACATATTGTTTTACAAGTAAAACAACCCCGTTGTGTTAAAACTACCCCATGCAACCGTTTTGATCTTGTATGAAGCTTCGTTCATCTCCCATGTTAGCACACCGTACCTGGCATCATACACACACAACTACCACCAGCCGCATCAGGGCAAAATTGACTAAAATTGAAGAACGATTATTATAGTAGACAGGGTGTAGGAAAATTGTAATACATGGTAAAATTAAAACATGTAAAGGTCAGTATTATTAATAACGTCGTTCGCCATCTTCTGCACAATTTTTTTTTATCTTAATTCCAGTTAATTCATTTTATTGGTAAAGTAAATTAATTTTTAAAAGGTGATACTACCAAGATTGACCTAATTAAATTCTATGGGTCATTTGTTGGTCCAATTTTTCTGACAGGGGGGGGATCTAGCATTTTTCGTACTATAGCCAAAATTATCGGAGGCAGTGGTGTAGCCAGCTAGTCTGACGATTTAGTCCTGCTATGCAAATTTCATGTTATTATAATTATTCATTCCTTTAAAAATTCATTGTTTTCACAGTCAATGAACACAATACTACAATCGACCTTATATGACCGAACGACGACCGGTGAATGCAAATAATTATATGCCAATACAACGGAATTAAACATATTACTCGACAACCGAAAGCTATTCGACATAATTTATTTGCTATTTGTAGCGTGAACTTCCTAACAAAGATCTGTATTGGGCTTCGCAGGAACTTCAAATCGTTACAATAAAATGCTGTTTTATTAAATCAAAATTGCAATTCCTATAAATGGAAGGATCGAGCAGCAGAATCCAACAGATTTTTAAAAACATCTGCGTCAAACATCCAGAAATTTCTAAATTTTCCTTGTTTACTGAAAAGGATATATTTCTTTCCTTTAAGTCAAATAAAGCAAACCAATAAGAAATCAGTAATAATTTTGGAAAAATTAAAATTGGGCGATTGAGTCAGACCCAAAGATGCAGCAAGCAAATGAGGAGCCAGTATTAGCCTTTAACCAGCCAATCGGAAGCGCTTAAGTTGTGCAGTTTAGTCAGACCCCGCAAAGATGAGTCAAACTCCTTCTAAGCCAATCAAATACTCAGAATCAGAAGCTAATGAGGCAAAAATCAAGCGCGGGCTATCGCTATTATGACTCATTTGCCAAGGGCTAAAAGTAGTGACTACCAACTGCATGAAGCTTTATAACCTAGACTGTTGACGTACCGCATAACGCTAATGTTGCCGCCATGGGAAAATTATTTCGACCTCGCGACTTGGTGCAATTTTTACCATTGTCGCATGACTCATCTGACAAACTCTACACCCGCCCTAACTTTACACATCCTATATTGCATGTAATCGCTTTGTACAATACCTGTGTGATCATGAATAATGAGTTAGCAGGAGCTTTTACGATTTGTTATCAATTTCTCACGTGCATGTGGGGTAAGGTATGTTAGGATTGTCAACAGAATTAAACAAATTATTAAGCAAAGGAGAGCATAAAACTTTTTTACTTCATTCACAATGACCGGATGCAGCATAATGACAAATACGCATTTCATTATGATGGTTTTTAGGAAAAGTTTATATACATATAATATATCTGTAGAGTCTCACTTTATAGTACAATAAAGGATTTTTCTTTGGGAAAAGTCAAACATTACACTTAATATTTTCATGCTTGAGTTACCAGATCACCACCTTCGAGAATATCGATTAAACGTTTTATGTGTAATACCATGAAATGCGCGTAATAAATATACTCACCATGTTGCTGGAGGTCGGCAAACAGGAATGCAATCCATCGAAGTACAACTAGTTTTTCCACTTTTTCTTATCTGTTGTTGAAAGAGATTTCTTTTTAACGACAGAAAAATTGAATCACTATCTAACACTGCGGTTTGGTCGCGGTCAAACCGATTGAAACCACAGACGACCGCAAGGGAAAAATACGGTTGCTGTTCGCTTCCGAACGGAATGTGATTAACAGCTGAGAACGAAAACACAATAATTATGTCAAAAACATCTTAAGAAATGTGTGTCATACCGAGTTAGGCCGAGGTTAAATTCGCGCTGCGTTTGGCGAATAAAATGCGTTAACATTTTCGAATAGATTCGCTCTATTATATATACCTGAGAATGTTCAGAATAATACTGAGAATAGGCTGTATGAGCAACCACTGTCAACAACAAAAGAGCACAAGCAAATTTCATTCTTTCCTGAACAAAACATAATGCATGAGCTATACATATATTGATAAAATATTATACATTTTTATAAATTATAGCTAGATAAATACCTGTAATAAACTGCACACGTTTTCACGAATTGTATTTCTGAGACTTTGTAGCCAAACTGGTGTAGCCAAATGAAGTTACTGCACATTAGTCTAAAATTTATATTCTCGCTATTAAACTCATTAATTCATTTGCAACAGAATAAAAACATGCATGATGTGACATTTCTAAGTCACAACAAGAGGTAAACCCGCTGTTGAAATGTACTCCGAAAAGTCGCAGCTGACACGAAGACAAACTTTCCATAGTTGTAAGCAGCATTCCTCGGAAATGGAGGCCAGGCGGCCAGCGTGGATAGCAGAATTCATATATAATAATTATGAAGAAACAAAGTTTGATTTGTTTGACAATGTTGATGAGTAATGTCACTACACACAAGCCGTTTTATCCGGCAAGAGATATTCGGTCATTCTATGCATGCACAATATGATTAAAACTATCGGAAAAAATGACTCATCATGCATTACTGATGACATTGCATGAAGGCATCTTCGTCAACAGTATCATTGAAGTGTCAATGAAACCAAGCAATTCAATCCGTTATTATTGATATGCTTTATTATTATTGATATGATACATTTCAAAAAACAGGACGCTTCTTTAAGCAGTTCGATCACAGCTTCGCAGAAGAAAAATCGCGTTGATACGCAATCAAAAGTGTATTGAGTATTGACATGTCGACACGCCTACCGTCTATCTTAAGAAAGTTCTTAGTATTATATCTTGCAATAAATAACAAGATCTGTCAGGTTTTGGTGTACTTTAATCTCGTTCATATTTTATTCTAACGCTATCACTCGACTGATCGATCCCCACTCGCAAAAACTCAGCTAGTTAGACACGCAGTTCAGTGAAATATTTCGAAGAAAGAACGAAATAATATCGAATGTTATAAATTCATTTCCGAAGTACAAGTGAAAACTGATACGTTTCTAGTGGCGGTATAATAGACAGTTATTCTGATCTAAAGAGTAAAGTATTCTTATATACCTAATATATTATTCTATCTCGAGCTAGGAATCAGGCTTTGTATTGAAATAAATTGATTATAAAATAATAAAAATTCTCGAACTATTTATGTACACGTTGATTGACAGGCATAAATTACAATGATGAAATGATAAATTCTCTTCAGTTCTATTTATTGTTATAATACATCACATATATGCAAAATAAATTTTTCTCCCGGGAAAGATGCTCTTATCGATTGCTGCATGATACCTGTAACCTCGCTCACAAGTCACAACTGTAATGAGATGCGTAAGTATATATTCCCTCTATATCCAATATTATACGTATAAACCGCCATTACAGATCTATTCAAATCCGTTTAATGCCATTCACACCGCCTTAACACCATTCTTTGATTCTAACTTGAAAAAATGTAGTACAGATGGTTGGACAACTTAAAGAAATTTTGAAACAAACAAATTTTGATTTTCGGTTGCTTGTGGCGGTTCTAATTAGAAAAAGCGACAATGTTGATGAGACATGTCACTGCATCACAAGCGGTTTTATCCGGCAAGAGATTCGGTCATTCTATGCACAATAAGATTAAAACTTTCGGACAATAAGACTCATCATTACTGGTGACAATGCATGAAGGCATCTTCGTCAACAGTATCATTGAACTGTCATTTTTCAGCGGTCGTATTCCTAATATGATGAAAAATTCCGCGAGAAAAATCGCGTTTGATACGCAATCGAAAGTGTAATTGACACGTCGACACGCCTTAATTCCATCTATCGCAAAAAGTTGTAAGTATAATGTCAATCAATCACAAGTTTTATTAGGTTTTGGTGAACTATAGTCCTGCTCATATTTTAGTCTAACGCTATCGATAGCGTTCACTCGATCCCAACTTGCAAAACTGCAGCACAGCTAGTTAGACAAGCAGTTCACTGTAGTATTGTGAGAGAGAACGAAATAATATAAAATATCATTAATTCATTTCCGACGTAAAAGTGCATAAACAGTAACACGTTGCTAGTGGCGGTATCTTGTAGATTGTTTTTGTAATGTAAAGTATTCTTACCTAGTACATCACATCTCGAGGAATCACGCTTTGTACTGAAATAAATTTATTGTAAACTCATAAAACTATTTATGTACACGTTGATTGACAAGCATAAATTACAATGATGAAATGATGTATTCTCTTCAGTTCTCTTTCGTATTATAATACATCACATCTGTGCAAAATCAATTTTTCTAACGGGAAAGATGCTCTTATCGATTGCTTATAGCTCTAAAATCGCTCACATGCAACTGTAATGACATGCGTAAATAAATTATATTTTCCGTCTACATCCGATATTATATACCTAAGAAACCGCCCTTTGCGACTGCACAACCTGATGGCGCCGCATTAATTGAGTATACATGTTGTAACTTCAACGGCGTGTCTCTAATATGATGACGGTGTACCTGACGTACCGACACACCTTACATCGACAGTACTTAGGAAGTTCTAAATGTTATGTCAATAAATCACAAGTCTTGTTCATATTTCGATCTAAAGATCACTCGATTCCTAGTTGCAAAACTTCAGTGCATGCAGACAGTTAAACAAGCAGTTTATTCAGAAGTATTAAAAAAAAGAACGAAATAATATCTAAGAGTCATTATTAAATTAATTTCGGCATGACGTACAGTCATGTCCAGAAATAACCAAATACTGCGGTTGCGGTTTGGCTGCGGTTAACTTGCGGCTCGGTCGCGGTCAACCGATAGAAACCGCAGACGACCTCCAGGAAGAAATACGATCGCGGTTGCTGTTCGCTTCCGAACGGAATGTTATGAACAGCTGCGAGAACGACAACACAATTGTCATGTCCAAAACATCTTAAGAAATGTCTGTCAGACTGAGCTAGGCCGAGGTTGAACCTCGGTTCAACCGCGATTTTTGGCAGTTTTTTCTGGACAGTACTGCATGTAAGTGAACAGTAATACGTCGCGGTATTATTGTTGAAAATTGGGCGGTGTTAATTCATTTTTACACAGTACATTGCTCTAATTCTGGGAATCTGGCGTTGTGTATATTGAAATGGGTTAATTATTATAGAATAATAAAATAATCGAATTCTTTATGTACACGATGATTGACAAGCATAAAATTAATCAATCATTAATCAATTAATCAATGATGAATTTATGTGTTCTATTCAGTTATCTTTATTATTATACTACATAACACCTCTGCAGAATCAATTTTTTTCACGGGAAAAAAGCTTATACTGATTGGTTATAGTTGGAACTTTGTCATCACATAGTCAAACTATGAGAAAATATATTTTACCTCTACATCCAATATTATATATACTTATAAAACCGTGAACGGTTTACTTATAGAACCTTACAGATATGTAAGGACATAATTATCTGTTCAAATCTGTTCATGGCCAGAAATGCAGGCTGTGAGCGGTGAGGTAAGTCGGCTCATCCGGTTTTCAGTTCGTTATTTAGATCAGTGTCGTTTTTATCAAAGCAACGTCTAAGAGCAATCAAAAATCACTCTACGAGATTGATGTATTTCATCCCGTTCCTGAACACATTTTACGCTTCTTTTTAAGCTTCTAAAATGTGATGTAAATAAAGCTAGAGTTTTTATGAAACAGCTCTGACGTAGACATTTGCCGATGCCTGCCAACAACGAGCAGAAATTGGAGCTGTAAGGTACCTAATATGCTCGGAGTATATAATTTGATTAATTTCTTAACACAATTTCATTCGCAAAAATATCGTTACTCGGGAATATCGCGGCTTCGTGGAAGGTGCCTTGTGTTTTTAGACTACAGCATGCAATCAAAAATTTACTTGACACGTCGGCACGCCTTCCGTGTATCGTAAAACGTTCTAAGTATTATATAATTATCAATAAATCACACGTTTTGTTACGTTTTGGTGAACTATAGTCCTATACTCATATGTTAGTCTAACGTTATCCCTTGATTCCCACTGGCAAAACTACAGGACAGCTAGTAAGACACGCAGTTTAGTGAAGTACTGTGAGAAAGAACGAAATAATATGAAATATTATCAATTCATTTCCGACGTATAACTGCATAAACATTAATACGTTTCTAGTGGCGGTATATTGTAGACTGTTATTGTGATCTAAAGTATTCTTATCTAATAAATTAGCTACTCTGTCTCGAGGAATCGGGCTTTGTATTGAAACAAAATTTATTATAAAGTAATAAAAATTTTCGAACTATATTTATGTACACGTTGATTGACAGGCATAAACTACGGTGATGAAATTATGTGTTCTATTCAATTCTCTTTATTATTATACATTTATACCACATCACACCTCTGCAGAATCAATTTTTCTCATGGTAAAAATGCTTATACTGATTGGTTATAGTTGTAACTTTGTCATCACATGGACAAACTATGTGAAAATATATTTTACCTCTACATCCAATATTATATATACTTATGAAACCGCCCCTACATATCGGTTCAAATCTGCATGTTGATGGCCAGAAATGCAGGCCGTTAGCGGTGAGGTATGTGGGCTCATGCGGTTTTCAGATCATTATTTAGATCAGTGACATTTGCCGATCAGTGACATTTGCCGATGCCTGCCAACAACGCAGAGAAACTGGAGCTGTAAGGTACCTAATATGCTCGGAGTATATAATTTGGATAATTTCTGAACACAATTTCATTCGTAAAAATATCGTTTTTCGGGAACATCGCGGCTTCGTAGAAGGTGCCTTGTGTTTTTAGACTACAGCAATAAAAAATGTACTTGAAACGTCGACACGCTTTCCGTCAATCGTTAAAAGTTCTAAGTATTATATCAATAAATCACAAGTTTTCTTAGGTTTTGGGGAACAATAGTCCTATACTCATATGTTAGTCTCACGCTATCACTCGATCCCCACTTCCAAAACTGCAGTACAGCTAGTTAGACACGCAGTTTAGGGAAGTACTGTGAGAAAGAACGAAATAATATCAAATATTTTAAATTCATTTGCGACGGAAAAGTGCATAAACTGTAATACGTTTCTAGTGGCGGTATATTGTAGACTGTTATTGTGATCTAAAGTATTCTTACCTAGTATACATTACTAGTATATATATATATATATATATA